GCTAATTAAAATGCTGGGGGAAAGACTGTCATAATTGAATAATGAGAATAATGCAGCATACATTTGTTTAAAGGTTCTTGTAAGCTGAATTTAGGAATCAAAAAATGGTCTCTAGGAGCTCATAGGCAAAACCAGCTCTCTGAAAAGCCTTTAATGCTTAGTATGTGTACCCACTGCACTGAGTAAGCATCTTGAGCAGGAATTGTCTTTGAGCTGTTGTGAGATTCTAATGCTTACGTTCACATTTATCTCCTGCAAAATACTAGCAAACATGTTCCTCAATCTTGGATTTTGTGACATTTAGGTTGGATAGAAACCATGGTATTGAAATTTGTTTTTGATTTACTCTTGGACAAGTGGTTGAGATGGCCTCTGTGGATTCAAGTCTCCAGAATGCAATAGACTTTGACATAATAAAACTGCAGATTTAGACAATGCCAAGATTAGAAGTCTTTGGAAGAAAGCAATGTGGGTAAATGGAAGGAGTGTTGGATACAGTCTCAGCCTTGCTATTAATTCTAAGGTGGGATATAATTCATCCCAATATCTTATTATCAACTAAACATGTTGGGAGGATAAAATGAGATAATATAGTACATTTAAAAGTAACTTTAAAAGAAAAAAATAATTAAAAGGAGTAAAACCCTATCTTTAACAATTGGTTGAATCTCATGAATAATACAAATCTGAGATTTATTTTCCTAATTTAGATCACTCTGCTATCAACACATTTTAACAAGGTAGGACTATAATAGGCAAGCTCATTACAGTAGCATATTATTGGGGAAATCAGTATTATTCTAAAACACAGAGTGTAACCTTAATCCCACACATTGTTCAGTTTATATACTAGCCCCCACTCTCAGCTGCTGAGATAATTGGATTGACTTTCATGCTTCTCAGTGTCTACGTTTCCTTTATTTCTTCCATCCCAGTAATAGTTAATTTCAAAGGCTTCAGGATTGTATTGAATCCAACCTATTCAGTGAGTTTCTGTCCTGTCCTTAAAGATCTATGGGAAAAATAAATTCTATAACCTCCTTCTACGCCTAACAACTTTACAGTGAGTAAATTCTGTACAATCTGAATTCCTTGATTGTGAAAAAATGTCCCCAGGGCCACCCATTGGGAGGCCTCCCGTACACTTCCTAATCCAACACAGTTTAGAGCCTTGACAGCTCCAGCGGAGCTGCTTAGACACCCCCTTATGAATATGCAAAGACAATCTTTCACTTACAAAAGAAACTGATATAGCCATTATGGCCTGTGGTTAATCAAACCTCCATTCACTTCACTCTGCTTTGAGAACCGTCATCAAGAAAACGTGTTGCTAAGCAAACTTAGCAATAAGGACCTGGTTCCCCTAAAAGAAAAAAAAAAAAAAGAATTGCCTGGAGGCCAGTTTGCTTGGAAGTAAAGATCCAGGCTTTTTCAGCTTCTAATTTGATTTCCTGTAAAAATCCAAGCTCATCATTCAGTTAAAGGAAGATTGGAAAGTTGTTCACACGTTCCTCATTTAAACAAGTTACAGTTTACACACACAAATGCACATGCACACACACACTCACACCAGGTCCTTCCACTTGCTTCTGCAACTGCTTCTTGGAAAACATCCAAGCTTAGGCCAAGGAGATGCATAATAGAGAAGCTGCTGACTTTCCAAGCATCTGGTGAATTCACAACTTTCCTTGAGCCTTACATAATGTGTCATCAATATTCATTCTTTCATAGACATCTATCTTAGTCATTTTCACCTTCCCCAGGAAACTCGATCAAGAGCAAGCATAAAGGACATTATATTGCAAATTCTTAATGAAGAGTACATAAGAATAGACATTCATCTCCTAGTTTTGCAATTAATTTTCAGTGTGATCTTAAAAGACCACTTAAAACAACCTGTGTTATAGATTCCACAGTCTTAAAATGGAGAAAATTACTTTCTATGGCACCAAGATGAGGTCTTAAACCTACCCACATGAAACTTAGCACATTTTGCAAACTGCCTTGATTCTCAGATTTTATCCAGCTTACTCAAAATCTCTATTTTTAGAATTTAGGCACTAATTTCCATGAGTGGGTGGTAGGCTGGTGGTCTCAATTTCTCATTCTCGCCAATAGAATTTTACTTTTCCATTTAGAAAAGAAATATGAGGAACCCAGGCATTTGAGAAGTGGATGTTGGCATAAATAATCAAATACCTTAACTTCCAAGCTACTAAATTTATTTTGGAAAACTACTATACTAGATGATGGCTATATATTACAGGTCACGTCCTACAATGTTCACAATTGTTTTCTACCAAATAACATTGCTTTTACCTTTCTCAGACTATTTCTAGATAATAAATTTGACCAGAGAGTGATGGTCCAGTTTTTTCTTAAATTCCATGTTTGTTTATCTGACATCCATTTATCACAGGGCTAATTATGTTCACTACACATTCTCATTATTTATAATCTTGATGTTTTGGCATTTGAAGACCTTCAACACTCAAGGAGATGGAGTCCCTCCCAGGACTAGCTGATTCCTAAAAATAGTGAAAATTTTACCTGGGAGTACATCTGCCAAACAAAAGCCAACCATTCCCTTACCTATCTCTTGCATAGCAATCCAACATTTCCCCTGCCCACAGTCATCCCAAGGGCAGGTACCAGGCTTCCAGAAACAACCCTTAGAGCCCAAAAACCTCCAGAATTATTTACACTAGCCAATGATAAGCTGTTTACTCTGCCATGCCTTGCCTTTCCCATGGAAAACCCATAAAGAAAGGCTTTGATCTATGGCTTTTCTCTCTCCTTTCTGCCCCCTGATCACCATTAGTATTCTCACGTGGCCCTGTGTGTCATGTTGCACCTTCTCAGCTGGGGAATGCAAGTGAATGAATCATTTTTTGCAAGGCATTGGTCTCTTCATGCCATCCCCTAGTCCCCTCCATAAATGAACACTCCGCAGGTAGGGATGAGACATCTGTGAGGAGGTAGCGAAAACTAAATTGTCCTCTGAAAAGTTCAACATCCACTCCACTCTTCAGGTCTTGAAGATAGGAACTCTGCCATATCTGTCTACTTCTGCATCCCTGGCAACACTGAGCACATGTGTAGTTTTGATTTATTTTGACTAAATAAATTCTTTAATGAATAAGAAAACTGCAACATTTTCCATTAGTGTGATGGTGGCTGTAGGACAGTCAGGGCTTCTCTGAATATAGTCCCAAATCATTTGAAGACTTCTTAAAAGGTAAGATTCCCGTCTCCTACTTTAAGGTTTACTGAATCCCAACTACTCTTGGTGAGGCACAGGAACTTTCAATTTAAACAAAATCCCAGGTAGTTCTTGGACATATTTTAGTTAAGAGAACTTTTGTTTTGCTTTTTGAGTATCAAAAGCCTCATTCTTGGCTTCAGTGGAATTCTTCAGTCACCATGAAGCTATGATGACCCTAAGATATGAGTTCTTGTTCCAAAGGTTTAATATTCATACCTCACTTGAGGGCCTGTATTTTTGATATTCCAAAATAATCCTATCAGCAATGCCAACCCTAGGTGACTGGTTCTCTATGTCAGTCATGTAAAATCAGACTTTTTTGCCATTGGATTGACATGGATTAGGTGGTTAAGCTTTCCCAATAAGCAGACTACCAAACCGTTGAATTTTTTAATCAAGTTGTGTGTGTGTGTGTGTGTGTGTGTGTGTGTGTGTGTGTGTGTGTGTGCACACATGCATTCTCGTAAGAACATGCTCTGGTTTTCATTTGTTTTACTTTATACAATTCATTCATTAGCATGCAACTAGTCAAGTGTGACTTCTTATTAGTGTGGGTCATGCACATTCTTTCAATCAACCCTTGTCATCTTATGCCTTTATCTTAGTCTCAGAACATCTGCAGAAGACCCCTACCTCCTTTGGCTACATGTCATAGAAAAGTTCTTTCAGAGCACTTGTGGATTTTTATATTTATCCATAAGAGCTGTGAAAGTGCACTCTAATGAATATTCAGGTCTACATTGCAGAAAGATATGCCCCTCTGGGGCAGCACGGCACGGTGTTGTGAAGGAGCCCTTCTGTAATAATAGTTGATATGAGTGAAGATCTCATCCAAGCCTCAGTGAAGCTTTCCATCAAATCTTTTTTCTTAGAATTGACATTTCCTGGCACTTCTGTCAAGACTGTCCCCACAGCTTCTGTGACGAGACCAAAATTCCTCAAGGGAAAGTAAGTGGTGGCATGATTTCTCTCTCTCTCTCTCTCTCTCTCTCTCTCTCTCTCACTTTCATCTCACCCACTCTTTTTTCTAAAAACATCAGAAAAAAATCCAAGACAGATACCTCTAAGCGGATGACAGCACAGCCAGTGAATGAGTAATTAAGTATAACTTGGTTTCTCAGAGCTCAATCCAGAGTTAACCGAATGCCCCTGGCAAATTTCAGGGAACCTTAGCTTTTCCAGGATCATCTCTGAGCCTCTGGGAATCTCACACAATCACTCCGAAAGGCCGAGGTTCTCTCCAGTGGTGCCACTTGTGTCTCTCCTCTTCTTCATGGCCTGCATTCTGGCTGCCCTGGGATTTATTGATCTCATTTGTTGATCCCCACTTTTGTTAACCTGTCCCGTCCTATGAGATCTCTACCGCCACAGTTACATTGATCTTCACAGGGTCTTACCTGCTTCAAAGTCAGCAAGGTACAAAGACGGGGTAGAAATAGAAAAAAAAAAGTAGAAGTGGGGTTTTCCTCCCCAGCATTGGAATGGTTTTGTCAAGTACAAAAAAAAAAAAAAAAAATCCCTCTTCTAAGGTCTTTTACTATTCCCTGGTGTGAATATTATTTTGCTTCTTTTAAAATTTCAGAACAATTTAACTAAAAACACGTACCAGCCACTAACTCTCTGACTTTGGGTCAGACAACGATGTGATGTAAGCATGTTCAAGAACAGGGCTTTTTGCTGTCCTTGGACCAAAGCCCTTGGGCAAAACGGATGCAGTATCTGCCCAGTTCCTAGTTGTACCAGCCTCGGGGCCAGCCATAAGCACTACAGCTCCAGCCTCTCCACGCAGTGCTCCTCTTCTACACAACCCTGAGGAAAGAAGAGCCCAGCAGTCTGCCCAGCTAAGCCCAAGTGCTACAGAGAAGTTGCCAGATTCTACCACAGAAGTGAAGGTGAGTCCTCTCTAGCTATCCGGCAAAATTGCCAATTAAATCCTAGAAATCACATTTGAATTTGTGGATGTCTATAATTCAGCTAGCCCTAGGGAAATACTCACTGCCAGCAGGTGGTTCAGAGCAACTCTTTGTAATATTCATGTCATGTTGCTTAAAGATGTGAAAAAGACCAAGCCTACCAGCTTCTGGTATTTGACAAACCAGACTGCTGTTGGATCATATTTGAATAGACAGCTGTATCTAAGTGTGCCAGGAAAAGCCTTCTCAGACAAGCAAGTCAGGTCAGCAAAAATTTTCCAGACTAGCTATGAACTGATGTGTACCTAATCCTACAAATCCTAGCAACAGGCTATGTGTACTATTGTTTCCTTCCTATGAGTGTTTGTTGATTCACACATCACTTCTTCACTAGACATGCAACAGCTATTTATCAAACTCCAGCCTGTGCGCAACTCTGTGCTGGGCACACATCACCCTTGCCCGGCACAAAGACTATCGGCTAGTGGCTGGTACCATTCATACCTCTATGTTCTCATACATTAATTCAGAACTTTTTCTGAAAACCCTACAGAATACAGTTCTTGCTAATCACACAAGATTGCAAGCAGTATTTAATTATTTAATTGTTAACTGGAGAATAAAGTGGCAGAATGAATGAAGTCTGCATATCTGGAGTTCCAAAGTCAAATGGAAGTTTCTGTCTAAGCAAAGAATACAGCTAAAGTTATTTAAACTATATTCATAGTGATCGTCACTCTATCCCTTTGGGGGAGGGGGAAGTACTTTAAGATTCTCATGGCTATAAAGAGTGTAACTCAAACCGTGTACAGAAATAATATGACCACAAGAATAAAACACAATCATATAAAAGGCAATGGTATGCCGTATTCTTCACCCAGCAATAAGAGAACAACATCTGAATTCTGAGTTAGCTGTCACAAAAGTCTTTTATCTCTGTCCTCACTTCTTGCTGTGGGACACAAGGCCAGCATCTTCTACCCTGGGTGGTCAGTTGAAGGCTTCCCAGCACATAATGTTTAGTGATTTGTTTACTTGATTGTTTAGAGAGTATCATATCAAAACTTTAAACTATAAGAAAGGGAAGGATGAGACACTTCAGGTTAAGGATGATAAGAAGAGAAATTCAAATTAATAATGGGGGGGCTGGGGATTTAGCTCAGCGGCAAAAGCGCCTGCCTGGCAAGTGCAAGGTCGTGAGTTCGGTTCCTGGTACCGGAGAAAAACCAAAACCAAAAAAAAAAAAAACCAAAAAAATTAATAATGGGGCAAGAAGAACTGACATGGGATACAGTTATTCTCAGTAATGTTAATAAGAGTTAAGGTTGATCCCACTTATACCCCTTTCTTGACAATTAATGCCTGAAATCCAAGAGAAGTTAAGTTTTAAAACATAAAACTCTAGGCTACATTTTTGACAGACTTCCATCCACAGCTGATTTAAACAAAATTTACTTATGTGTGAAATTTCAGATAGTATCTCATTTCCAAACAGCACTTCACTCTAGAATGGCAAATTGTACAGTTGGTTAAATTTCTTAGACATATGTTAAACCCCTTGATCCTCATGGCAACAGCAAGAGGGAAGTAGATGGATATTCATTTACTTACTTATTATTTATTCATTTTTTTCATTACTTTTTCATTTGTCATCTCATTTTCTGTTAGTCAATGAGCATTTGCTGATGACCTCTGTGTTTTGGACATTGTGCTACACTACTATCATATGCTACCCACAATGGTAGCCCCCACTCATATGTGGCTACAGTAATTAATGTTTAAAATGAAATTTAAAATTCACTACCCACATTCTAAGGAGTCAGAAATCACTGTTGCTAAAAGCTAACTTACTGAAAGCTTCTAATATAGAATGCTTCATCTTTGCAAAACATTCTTTTGGACATCGTTATGGCTTTTGTCTAGATGTTCCCCCAAAGCCTCATGCAGTCATAGAGGGTGGCTTTTCAGAGGTGGCTGGATCTAGAGTGTGTGATGCTGAAATTAAATGTGTGATATTGGGATCAAGGGTGTGTGATTTCTAAACTAGTCTACTGACTGGGTTGGTATCGTTCTAGGAATGGATACTAAGGAGGCCCTCTCTGGAGTGAGAGCTACCTGGCCTACAGGGTGAATACCCTGGAAAGAATATAAGGGACAGAAAGGGGGCTGCTGTGCTCACTTGTTGCTTGCTTCTTACTGCCTTCTGCCTGCTCTGCAAGGCCCCTCTGCCATGTACCACCCTATCTTGAAGCCAGCCAACTTCTACAAACTGTGAGTAAATAAACCCTTCCTCCTTTAACTTTAATGTCAGATATTCTGTCTCAGTAATGAAAATATAACAAAGACACACACCATTCTGCACTATCTTCTGTTAAGTAATCAATCAAGACTTGCTAAAGGATGCAGAGCCACATCTCATCTCCTTAAGTCTTACTCTCACCTCAGAAAAGTCATTATCCTCTTTCCTCATCCTTGTTCATCCTGCCAAGACTTTATATGCTGGATACAGGGCAAAGATGAGAGAGGGTGAGAGTGTCTGCCCATCTTGGTCCAGAAAATGTTCCATGTGACCACCGTTTCATGCCTACCTGTGAGAAGAATACCTTATAATTTCCTTGTCCTGATAGTCATTCCGTTACATTCACTTATACTCCAGAACCAGTTAGGCTAGTAATTCTCTTTCCCATTGTTCAATGATTTCCAAGACCTCCACATCTAAAATTGGTAATCTACTCTAGTGTCCCACTGCTGCTTTAACCTTTCTGCATTTATTATTGGCAACTGAAAAAGGTCTTATGGAAGCAATCCAATTCACTTCCCCTTATTTGCCTTTACCTCCATTCTTCAGATGAGAGAGCCAAGGTTGTTGGAGAATTCTCTCAGACTCCACAAGGCAATAAAACATTCATTTCTCAACAAGTATCCTCTTCCTGTCCATCTGCTCTGTGTGCCTGATGCTGGCTTCCATGACAAGATCTGTCCCTTGTAGGACATCCAACATACCTTCCCAGAGAACACTCATGTCTTTTCACCAGGAAATTAGGTGTCAAGAAGGAATTGGCCTTGATCTTTCAGTTCAAGTAGGTTTACTGTACACTTCCAGCATGCTTAACTAGAAAATAAGGTATCAAAATGCAAAGGACATATTTCTGTATCCCAGCAAGAAAAAAATAATTGAAAAAGCAACTAGAGTAGGTATGATCTAGTAGGTGTTCAAAGTCTGAACCTTAAGGACAACTCAGGAACTTTAACAGCATCAGTACTGCTCATTAAAGAGAAAAGAAGGAAAAAAAATGTAGAGATAATCCTGTAGGTCAACCAGAAGATTAAAGAAGCCATGGAAAAGACCACACTAAGCTCAAAAGAAAATAATACTGTGCTATCACCATAAAGATCTTATCTAAACCTTCATCAGACACTGGAAATTGGGGAAGCACTGCTTTAACCAAAAAATAAAATTTAATAAAACAAACAGAATAGAACAAAATAATGTTAGTAAAATTCCCTTTACAAAAGTCAACCCAATGAGTAGATAAAAGAATAGTTCCAACTCAGTACAGCGTTTATTTTCTAAAAGCCGTTCAAGGGAAGACCTTTACCCCTAAGCACCCAGTATTGGGTAGACACGTGGCAGCAGAGGCTGCAGTAAGAGAGTCATGAGAGATGAGTGAATTCCCACACAAAGAGAACAGTGATGGTCAGCCTGAGACCCAAACAAACCCTGGACCCTGGAGTTTCCCAGCTGCCCAGCCACACCCAGATATAGGTGCGGAAAATGATGAAACAGAACTTTTCTGTGCTTATCTCTCAATGACTGTGAGTCCTCAGGAACTCACATCTTCCAGTCCCTGAAAGACAGGCCCACAAGAAGGCATTCTGCCTTGGGTATACACTTCTGTCCACCCAGCTGAAGCCTTTATTCCTTCCTTCCTTCCTCTTCCCCATTTCCTAACCACTAGTTTCCGCAACATAAACCAGTTCCCTCCTGGGCTGTCTCCTATTCTGGACCCAAGTAATTTCATTTGCGGGGAGGACTTAGCTGCCGGACGGGGCTCTGCCTGTAACACACATGGAACCTCTAACCTCGGAGTATTCTCACTGCGTTAGCAGCCTGAGAATAATATCATCTTCCCAGATGGATCCCTTAAGAATATACATGTGTGTGTGTGTGTGTGTGTGTGTGTGTGTGTGTGTGTGTATTTTTTGAGACAGAGTTTCACTATGCAGTTCAGGCTGGCCTCAAACTCACTTTGTAGCCCACGTTGGCCTAGAACTCACAGTGATCCTGCTGCCTCAGCCTCCCGAACGAATGCTGGGATTACAGGCATGCACCACCACACAAGCTCTTTTAAGGATATTGACACCAGTCTGCACTGGACATACTCTCCCAAGTTCCCTGAGCATTGTGATTTGACTATATTTCTAGGTCTATGTTTAATCTTTAGCCCTGATCTAACCACCCAGGCACCTGAATAGTGACATTCTATCAAGTTTCCCAATCTTAATCAAGTTATTGATGGTTGCATATAATCAAACTGTGAATTCTGATAAAGTCCTACAGACTAAAAAAAGGAATTTATATTTTGTTCTAAGTATTAGGGGAGAGTTTCAAGCAAAAGAGTAACATGATTTAACGTACCTTTTAAAAATGCAATGCTGGTGACAATAGGAAGAGCAGGCCTTGTAATGTTAAAGCAAGTGGAGGTAACAAGTTAGAAAACCATCTGGCACAACGGTGTCGACCTAGTACTCATGTGGTCAACCAGCTGATAAACGTTGATGACTTGAACTGGGGAAGGGGGAGGAGCAGTATAGATAGAAATAGAAGTATTAGAGATGTAATTTGAAGGTAAAGATGGTTAATATTCTTATACAGAAAGAGGAGGTCACTACTTCCCTTGGTCCTCATCAGGACACAACAATTAATAATACACAAAAAGGCTTTCAGTAACTCATAAGTAAGAGTGTCATGTTAAATTATGAATAATTAGTAGTACTGACATAGTTTTTTTAATATAAAATGTTTTTAATTGTTTTTGAAAATATTTAAAAAACAATTTTGAGCACTTTTAATAAAAAAGAGAACTGAAATGTTTCTGCAATATTCAACTACTGTAGTTTCAACAGGTACAACAGACAAAACACTGGGGAAATCTGACTTTTTGCACTAAATGAAAACATGAAACAGGGCTTGTTTTTGTCACTGATGGTGTTGTAAAGCACATTGGAGAACAAGACTTAGTTGAACCTCAGATGCACTGCATAAAAAAACACTTTCCTTCTTTTCAGTTCAAAAGTCAGTGCTTATTGCAATTATATGCAAAATTATTTACTTCATGAAGTCTTATCATGATAAACAGTATGCAAATAACTATGTCAGAACCTTTCTCAGATTATTTTCATGTTCTGACATAGTTATTTATATGTAGATAATGGACTTTTTCAAGGAAGCTCCTTTAGAATACAAGTATCCAATTGTGTTGGCAATTTCAATGAAGTAAATTTTAATGATAATTTCTTGCTGGAATATAAAAGCTATTGCTCTAAAAACTATTCTGCCCCTAAATGAAAGTTATCCAGTGTGAATGATAATTGCAACAACAGAAAACCAATACACCATCTCAATGCTGTGTCTTTTCAGCCAGATTCTACAATAAAATTAAGAACACTTTAAAATGTTTTGAGAGTGTCTACCAAAGTTGCTTCCAAAAATACCTTTAGTGCCTACTATGAATATAATTTTTCAAATTTCACAAGTTATTAATGGGCTATTGCAAAGATTTTTCCATCCGCTCCCATAGAAAAGAACCTTTGGTAAAGTAAGCTGAAATAAGTGTAGCCTGGAATATGTTTCATTCACTGACAATATTTTCTGTGTCATAATTGTCAGATGTCAGCAGACACAGCCTCTACTAGTGTTCTTAATTTAAATTCAGTCAGTTCTATGTATATGGCTCAGCCAATGCAGTGTACCTTCTGATATGGCAATGCAATTTCTCCTCCATCCTTTATGTGCAGAAAAGTCATTCTTGCTGCCTGTAACTTCAGTTCTGCACAGAATTGTTCTCTCACCTAACTACTTATTCAGACTTCTCTTTTCAGTTAGGTAATAAACCAATCATATATCCTTAAAAATGTATTACACAGTTTTATCAGCTTCAAAGAGTGAGTCATGAAAGACTAATGGTAGCGAATGTTGCAGCATCCCAAAAGCATGCACTGTGTGAATTGGATATAAATAACCTAACAAAACCTTGAAGAGGCACTGACTGATGACTCAGGCCCGCAGTGTTGGATACCGTGCTCCTGGACAAGTAGGCAAGCATGTACACAGGGGGACATTAAGAAGGGAGTTAAGCACTCACTAGGTTGTGGTCCAGGTCTCTTGAGCAGCCTGTTTGTCAAGTTCAACATTTACAGGCCACTGTACACTAAGGAAATAACAGCATTATGAATGAAGAATGTTTCACAAGAGTGGTCATCGAAGGGCAAATAAAACCTTCTAACACAAAGAGCTAGATATCCGCAACTGATCAGCTTCTTTTCAGGACACCAACCAAGACTGCCTCTGATAATAAACATTCCTATAAATCCCCTTTCCTTCTCCTTTCTCTAAGAAGCAAATGATTACACCTTACATACCTTACAAGCACACACAAAGTACACCTAAATAAAGTTCAGGGCAGTTCTTTGAACTCACTCACTCTTGCTTCCTTGAGAGTATATTTTCAATTTCCCTGTTTGTGCTAACAAATTTTCCTTGGTGATTTACTCAGTGTATTTCTACATTTAAATTCTTTCCGTGGCAGAACAAGGACCTATCCAGGCCAAGCAGGGTCTCTGGCCTCTGCTTGGTGGGATTCTTCACTGTCCTCCTGTTAACTCGTGGACATATGCAGTAATCAGAGTCTTTAAACATGAAGTTGATCACATATACAAAATGAAAACTCATCATCGTAGGGGATCCCCAAAGAAGACTGTAAATTAGTACAAATTGTGTAGACACTGCAGTCACAGTGTGTATATGTGGAAATGCCTAAATCCTGTAATAACAAGGGCTCAGTGTCAGCTTGAGTTACCATCAATGTTTCTATTCTTTAGTAGGAAGTCATCACGCTTTCAGTGCTGCTACATGTAGTCTTTTCCAGTTCCATCATTCTATTGTTCTATCATGTTTAACCATGTGTTTTGAAGAAATATACAAGAAAGCCAGTAAATTTTCCCACAAAAAGATAGAATAGAAAGGTCCAGTTTGTAGTTTGTCTCAGATA